TATATATATATATATATACACACACACACGTACATACATACACACACATACACATTTGTTTTCGTAGATTTTCACGGGTACAGGTATGCAGGTCTTGGCGTATTCGGGTCTTTTCCCATGTAAGATTGAGAGTATCTTGGCAACGTTTCACTTGCCATCTTCAGGCTGGTGCCTTCGGCTTTGTGCTTGTGCGATCAAAGCGTGATCAGAGCTGCTGTCTTTCTATAAATATTGATGGGTGGGTGTGGAGTGCTGGCTTTATTGCTGTAAGCGGATTGGTTGGCTGTGTTGTAACATCTTGATTAGTTGATGGAGTTGATGTTTGCATATTGGTTGGCTGTTTCATAACATCCTGTGTGGCTGAGGTGCTGCTGTGTGCCTATTGTTCTTTTGTGTTGTAACAACCTGGGTAATGGGCTGTGTGATGACATCCTGAGCTCTATTGTAGTGGTATCCTGAGTCCTGTGCTGCAACCTCCTGGGAGGTTGCCTGTGTTGTTCAGGATGTTACAACGCAGCCAATTAATCTGCAAACATCAATTCCATCAATTAATCAAGATGTTACAACACCGCCAACCAATCTGCTTACAGCAGCAAAGCTAGCACTCCACACCCACCCACCAATATTTAGAGAAAGACAGCAGCTCCAATCACGCTTTGCTTGCACAAGCACGAAGCCGAAGGCACCAGCCTGAAGATGGCAAGTGAGACCTTGTTGAAACGTCGCCAAGATACTCTCAATCTTACACAGGAAAAGACCCAAATATGCCAAGACCTGCATACACACACACACACACACACACACACACACACACACACACACACACACAGTTATATAGTTATATATAGTTATACACATAAGGCACATCAAATGGTGAGGATGGAAAGTCACAGTCTGCAAAGCAGAGCTCTGCTGTGCAGATGTGAATTATTCTACTCGTTCCCCAAGGAATCTACTGAGCTGGCAGGTTAATTATAGCAGCAGAAACAAATCAAGGAGTGAAAGAATAACTATCAACACTGAAGAAACATGATGGACTGATTTAAATAAACCAGTATGCTCTGATGCCTGCTTTTGATTCCAGTGACTGTATTTAAGTCTGCTGTAAGTTGAGCACCTGTCTGTGGAATGTGTGAAACATCCTTACCCACCATACATTCAACTGTTTACACACCTGTTCCAGTTGGAAAAACAGCTTTAAGAGAAACATAATTTTAACAATGGAAAGTAATGTAGAAAGAGATGGCTGCATTAAGCTCTTTCATTTTTACTGGAAAGAGAGGTATTTATATCAGAGGACAATGTGCATTGTACAGTGCAGATTTTTTTTTCATTCAGCAATATTGTCAAATGATGGCATGGCTTATGATTTAAATAATACTATTATGTTTTCAAGAAGCTTAGCATTTTTTGAAAAGTAATAAAATAAGGAGTTGGGTAAGACACTGAAATCCCATATTCTTATTCCCTGGCTTAGACTAGAATAAATACATAATTGTAATTGATATGATACTAATACACAATTAAAATTAAAATTAATTTTAAAAAGAAAAATATATTTTTCCAGATGCATTGGCAAGATTTATTCTGGCACAATAGTGTCTTCAGGTGATACTTTGCACTAATTTCTTCTGGCATAAAAAGGAGAGGAGGATAATTTTTGACAATTCTTGATTCCCCAAAATCTCTTCACATGCAATTCGGAGGTCCTCATATGCTGCTTCTGTTTGAGAATATATGTTGCTAATGATACTTTTGCTACTGCTTAGCCAGATTTGGTATCACTTGTAAATACAGGAGTCTGCCTTTTTGTGAGTCCACAAGACTCCAGAAAATAACCAAAATTGGTTGATGACTTTTATTTGCTTGCTTCTTCTGAGATGATGAAATCATATATTCACACATCACACTATGATTGCTAACTTTCATATGGCTCATTAGACACACTTTTTTGCCGGTATGAAATCAGCAGGAATGAAAGTCTCTACTGTGCTGTGTAAATTGGCTCTGTTTATTGTACAATATATTAACTATGTAATCCTTTAGTGAAAATTCATGACAAGATATTTTTGTTGTCTTGTTGAATCTTTTAAAATGCTTGTCATTTGCTTATTCTCCCCTTCAGCTGACAAATTTAAATATGATAAACGGAGCTGTTAATAAAGTAAATGCAACTGCTTCCAGTTATCGTCCACCACTCAACCCAGGAGGTTCATTTTGGGCTTTTCAAACGCACAGCAGCACTCCTGATACCAGGCCTGCATCTTTAACACTAAGGTAAGAGAAACAATTAGACCGAAAATATGTATGTTTTAGAATCATATCCACACATTCTATTAGCATTTTGCTCGTATAATATGAAATAATGTGATTATTTGCTGACTGCTAACTTCTTGAAGAAGCTAGCAACATAAATAGTGAAACATTTGCACACATATATTGGCTCACATGGCATCACCAAGAAGAAATTTTACCAATAAATAGCCATGAAAACCTACAGTTTCTGAATATATTTTTTTGCAAGACTATGACTGAATTAGATTAATTGATATATGTAGGCAGGTAATGCATAGGAGAGTTATCTATTTGTTTTTTGCTGATATTATATAGAAATTATATATTTTGCTCATTATATAAATAACAAAAAAGCAAAGTTTGTATTAATGCATTTTCCTCAAGATGTAAAATCTAGTCACTTGGAACAAATAATCGAATAAGAATCTTGCCTTTTTGCATTGTCATCTGTTGGGTATCTTGTTCAAAGAGCAGCCAGTAGGACTAGCCATACTTTTCTGAAGTTGATTTATCTGTCTACAAATGACACTTTTTTCTTGTAGTTTTTGTGACCCTAAGCAGTTATGTTAATGCTTCTCCTCCTTTAATGGAAATACTGTAATGGAAATTAATGAGTATATGAGAGCTAACTTTGGTGAGTGGTAAATATAGATTTTAAATTTACCTAGCAATAAATTGAAATCAATTTCCAAGGATCCCTTTTATGTCTCTCTTCCTCTCTTCCACCCCAAGCAGAAATTTTAAAACATGAACATGTAAGGAAGAGATTTCTGAAAAACTTGATCCTGATGCCTTTAAGTACCGTATTTTTCAGAGTATAAGATGCACCTTTTTCCTCAAAAAAGAGCCTGAAAATTATACATCAAATACAGCATTTTTTTTCCTCCCAAAGCCCCGCCCCTTCACCAAAATGGCCGTGCATATCCTTATGGGGGCTTTCAGAGAGCTCATGGGGGCTGGGGAGGGCAGAAATGAGCAAAAAACAGGCTGTTTTTTGCCCCGCCAACCCCCAGCAGTACTCTATAAGCCTCCATAAGGCTATGCATACAATGTTTTTGACAAAAAATGGGCCGTTTTGTTTGCTCGTTTTTGGCCCCCNGTTTACTTTTGCTGGGATTGCAGGAAAATGAGCATGTGGACAGTATCAGTTCTGATTCTACTGGGGTTTTGGTTGTGCTTTAAAACAACAACATGGGACCTTGGTACTCTGAGCAGTAGGTTAGGAGAGGCCTCTTAAGGTATCCCTATAAATAGTTGACAGAGCACTACTAAATATCTAACCAGAGGTTTCTTTGGAATAAAACTTCTTTTATGCCTTATTTTTTTCCTTATCTCATGCTGACTTTCTGAATTGTCCTTTCTTCAATAAATTAATTTCTCCATCATTACTTCATAAAGAAATCATCTCTGTTCTTTATAAAACTTTTGAAAGAAAGCAAAAAACTGTGAGATAATTTAGGTACAGACATATGCATATTGTAATTGAGAATTGTGTATTAATATCTTTTATATAAAATGGTTTTTATTTTGTCATGAATATTTCTGTCCCTTGGCAATTTTTGCACATAAGGCATATTTCTTATAGCTAGGGAAAAAAATCATGGCAAAATAAAACTTTTCACTCACTTTAGCAGGATCAAGAAGTCACAGCCCAAGCAGACAGCGTGGTGTATCTGCCAGAATGAATAAGGATACAGAAGACAACAAGCGTTATAATCACGATATTGCAGCAGAACTTCAGAGATTGGCAGAGAAGCAGGCAGCTAGACAGTACTCGCCACCCAGTCACATCAGCCTTCTTACACAACAGGTATCTAAAAAACATATTTTCCATTTTGAATAGAAATATCATTTGATGCTAATCATTTCACAAACAAGAATAGCAAACAAACAGTGATTAAGATTTATTTGATAAGTAAGAATTAATCTTAATGGATCTTCTTGAATTGTGCTTGATCAGAGGGAATGCAATCACTTTTTTCTAATATACTGTACATATTAATAATGTTAAGGCACTTTGGTTATAGTGAACATAGAATAAGTGGAGGGCACCCTGATGAAGCTACTGCAAGCTAGTTTATATGTGCTGGAGCTTTATAAAAGGAAATCTCTGCTGCATCACAATCGATCCCTTCTTAATTTTATACCATATTCTCACTGCCCACCTTGATAAATGTTGTTAGTTGCGAAGTCATGTCTAACCCATCACGACCCCATGGACAATGTTCCTCCAGGCCTTCCTATCCTTTACCATCCCCCAGAGTCCATTTAAGCTCACACCAACTGCTTCAGTGACTCCATCCAGCCACCTCATTCTCTGCCGTCTCCTTCTTCTTTTGCCCTCAATCTTTCCCAGCATTAGGCTCTTCTTCTCATTAAGTGGCCAATGTATTTGAGTTTCATCTTCAGGATCTGGCCTTCTAAGGAACAGTCAGAGTTGATCTCTAGGATTGACCAGTTTGATTGCCTTGCAGTCCAAGGAACTGGTAGGAGTCTTCTCCAGCACCATAGTTCAAAGGCCTTGATAAATAAGTAATATTAAATAGGAACAAGCAGTACAGCAGGGTTGATCCTAACCCTGACTCTTCTTCCCCTATAGGAAACATAGAATAATTTTAGGAATGACCTCACTAAATCATGGGGAGTTGTATTATTATTTAATATTGTGACAATTCCAAATGTATTCTCTCTCTATGCCCCCAAAATGCTCAGTATTACCTACTGCTTCTATTAATGACAAACTCTAACTGGTTCTTAGTTTGTACATTGAACATTATCCATGCCCATTAAAAGAGGCCTTCTTCTACTTATCGGTTTCATATGCAACCTCTTTTAATTTATGAAAGGGAATCTTCCTGAATTGCTAAAAGCAATTCCAGCCATTAGAAACACAAACACACACACACACACAAATTGGGTTGACTATAGTGATTATCACCATTTTTTTTTGTCTAGGCTCAGAAACTAAGCAGAATTGAATGGGAGACCACCAGGAAAGTTTGGGTTATGGGCTCAAATGGGAAATTGGGGAAAAAATCTTGAAAAATGATAATGGCAAACCTCTTTCATACTGTTTTCCCTATGTAATATACTGTGAGGTGGTATTGGTTCTGTGTGAGGTCTTTATTGGTGCCTGCCTGAACGCTTTTGGCAGAACAGAAGCAGCAGTTGTTACAAACATTTCTTAGGCTTCAGTGCTTTGTAGTTATTGATGGTAAATAAAAGAATGTGTTGAATTGCCCTGCTTGATAAAAAGAAGAGTTACTTCTTTTCTGCATTTCTCTGTGAACAAATGTGCAAATTCATGGATTGATTTTCACTAGCAACAGCTCCAACTTTTCCAGCTACAGAGTTTGATCTTAAGGATAACATCAGACCACCCAGGCGAGAGCTGGAACAAGATATATCTGTCTCTTCTGTTGAGTCAGCCAGTGTTCAAAGCTTGCAGCAACTTTCCTAAAATGTAATGATATATCATTGTAAGAAAGGAGGGGGTAGGGCTTATTATTTTGTATTTTCATTGGAAAGGTGGTCCTTAGCAAAAAGCTGGCATTCCTCATAAACCTGTTGGAGAATACGAAGTACAAATATCTAGTGTAGTGTTTTTTTCTGTTTTTTTTTAAACAACACCACTCTGCTTGGCACCAGCCACTTCAAGAACTAGTCAGTACCTGCTTCATAAGGAGGATAAAATTGTAGGTGATTGTTAGCCATGATGGTGATGTATTGCCTCCAGTGTAAGAGAGAGTAATTTTTTTATATCAAATATTAGGAAATATGAACAAGTTCTGCTTTTTAGGATATCTCAAAGTGTTTTTGTTTTTATTTTTTACAGTGCTGTGGTAGAAAAATATGGAGGAGATTAAGTTCCCAGGCTATATATTTCACATCTAAATCTCTCCTGTCCCCTCCCCTCCTCTCCTCCCCTCCCCTCTATTACAGTCTTCTTTATTACAGTCTTCTCATGAAAAACACATATAATTAGCTATGCTTTTAAAGCATAGAGATTTATTGCTTCATCTGTAATATTCTCAATGTTAGGAACCTTTTTTCCAATCTATTTTAAGCCTCTCCCTCCTGGATCTTCCATTCAACTGCAAGCTGAAACAGGAAATGTGTTGGTTAATTCTTCTTAGCCATCGCCCCTTCTTTTTTCACCTCTCTTCTGCTTCACCTTTCTTTTTGTTTGGCATTTTTTCTTCAATAGATACAATGTGAGATTCACTTGAAAGTTGATGTACACCAATGTTATAGAAAACAATATAGAAGATGAAAAAAAGAGTGCCTGAAACAGCATCATTCCTGGTGCTCCAAAGGCTTTTATATAGCTGGATTTAGTCTTGAAAGGATTTCAAGGAGCTGCTAGCTGAGTCAAGCTGAGCTTCAAGGAACTATTTTGTGGGAAGGGTTACTCTCTGATCATCAAACGTTTGGCACATCTAAGCCTTGATGAAATAACTCCCAGTGAAGTTTTAGCTTTAAAACTCTTAGGAATGGTTAATTCCAAGTCTGATTTCTTCCAGTAATGGAAAGCAAATAATCCACTACAATACAGACTCTTAAAAAAAGATGCATGTGCTGGAAACACTACAAACAAATCTGCAAATTTGTCAGGTTTCCCAGGAATGTCTGTGGCAGGTTTTGTCTGGAATGTTTTCTAGAGACTAGAACTCTTATGCTCTTTATGTGCATACCCTGTGAGCTGGTAAACTCACCAAGCAGGGTAGGAATGTCATGGGCGTTGAGCCAAATCAATTTTGATGTACACGGAGCCTTCACACCTCTCAAACCTTGCTTGTCTTATATCTATAAATGCAAGCATGCAGATAAACTTGCCTGAGGGCAATTTATCCATGGGGTGTGGTTGAAATAGACCTCAGTTAACTGCAGAACAAGGCTCCCTTCCTTCCTAAAGGTGTCCTGTTTATTAGTAGATAACTATGGATGGTAAAATAAAAAGTACTATCAATGTGGGTTCTATTCTTCTCACTCTCTATAATTGGAGGGACACACACACACACACAGACGGGACAGAAATGAGGGTATTTAATCTTAACCCATTTTTGAACTAGGAAGATTTGTTTGAGAAGAGAGAAGCACAGGTTCAAAGTGGTCTTTGATAGCAGAGGTGAGATAAAAGAAATGGAAATTTATAATCTACTTTGCTTATTCTGATAGTACAGTGCTCTTCTGTAAACAGCAATATCTGCTCTAATAATTACTGCATGATTACTATATACTTTATTGATGTCTAAACACCAACCTGGTTATGTTTAGAAAAATGGATTGTATAGGTGAACTCAGGTAGTCATCATACCCTGAATATAAGACCTCCCCGGATGATAAGCCGGATTGGGTTTTTGAGCACATGCGCTAAAATAAGCCCTCCACCAAAAATAAGCCTTTCCCGAAAATATTGCAATGCAGCAACAGCCATGAGGTGACCATGCTTGCCACCTCCTGCATCTCAAAAATAATAAGACCTCCCCGAAAATAAGGTCAAGCACTTATTTTGCGGGGTCAAAAGAAAATAAGACCTTGTCTTATTTTCAGGGAAACACGGTAACTGAAAAGTGAAATAAAGTAATAATATGCAACATTTAGTGTTAATGGATAACAATATGTGGGAAGACTTATGAGACTTGAAACTAGTGAGTAACTATGATGTGCTAAAAAGAACAAGTAATATAAGGAGCATAAATATAGTCCTGTTAATGACCACTCATTCAGCAATTGTTCAAAGTTGCAATGTCACTGAATAAGTGGTACTTAATGATAGTTCTCGAAGTTCTGATCATCCAGCACCCCTGCAATCATATGATCATGATTTAGGAGTTTGGAAACCTATTTGCACTTATGACATTTTTGCAGCATCCTTTGGTCATGTGATCACCATTTGTGAACTTCCCTGCCAGCTTTCCACAAGTGAAATCAGTAGGGGAACTGGCAGGGTAGATTGCAGGTCAATCCTGTTTCTGCTGCTTTTTTTCTCCAAGGAGCCCAGCTACAGAGAACAAGATCCTGGGGATCTTGTATTGCACAGTGCATGTACATCCATAGCAATGGAAATTCCAGTCCTAATTATTGGAGAGTTGTTAGATATGAAATGGGCAGCAAATAAATTTCATAATAAATAAATACTGTCATTAAGTAAGGAGTACCTGTAAGTTCTTGGTTTATGTTGGTT